TTGAACTGGTATATTCACTGCGAGCCCCAAACCACGGCGTGGTAAATAACCGTAATTCATCAATGATCAAAACATTTATGATTCTTGGTGAAGAACTAACTGTACCAGTTTGGGGGAAAAAGGGAGCTTCCGTGCCGCAGAATCGGTTCTATGAGCAAAGGGGGGGGGGTCACATGAATGTAAAGAAAACCAGCATTACCGTTCGCCACTCTCGAGAGATTGGCTTTAATTTCAGAACCTTTGAACGGGTAACCGTTTTTTCTCGAATGCTATGTTACTGAGGTGAAACTGGGACCACCAGTCAGTGAAAAATACCGGAGCTCACGATGCTTCACATATCCTGTTGAAGGACAAGCAACGTTCCTGAAATACTTCACAAACAGAAGTATTTCTGAAGAAATAATATGGTTTGATGTGTGCTGACCAATCAGGTAGTTCACGGCTAATAAATGTGCATAAGTGAAATAGTTCTGATACAAATTGACGTTTAAATCACATAAATCTATTTGTGCTCTCTCCGACAGGCCAGAAGATCACATATATTAAGGCACAAGAAAGATTGGTCACTGAATTGATTGACGAAAAGTAGAGATTGCTTGGTGTGAGCAGTTTCTGGTGAGGCTTGCGATTTGAGCGGTGCAGCTATTTCATAATCTTGCACTATGGAATCCTGTATATTCGAGCTAGAAACAAGAACCCCGGGGGAGGGTTCTGAAGAGGTATCCTCATGTTTACAACATGATTTAGTACTGTTTCGGAATACCTCTCCAAGAGTAAATAGCTCCACAGAGCGACCAAATTTGGCCCATCCGGACGACCTTCGCTCTGACAATGGAGCACATTGTGTCTAGTTTTAATAAGGGAGATGAGGTAGCATTATGATGCCTAGAGCACTGATCCATCTTTCAACGCAGTCGAATGAGTTTTAGTTGGTTTTGCTTGACGTGTCAAATAAACTTCTGGTACATTTTGTATTGCTAAGTAATCAAAGTCCCGCTTTCAGAACACTGAGAATCACTGAAATTTGTACAATGTAAGACCCACAAATATGAGGGCTTTCATTACTTTCATCAGTTAGACTATTTTCATTCCCTGGATTCTCATTCAAGGCATGTAGTCAAGTTTAACTGCGATCTCCCCCTCCCCCCTGGATGAGCCAATGATGCACATGACAAGAAGCTGAAACTGATTGATGATGCCGAACCCACCCACTGAGTTGTTGAGAAAAAAGAAAACTGATTTGAAATCACAAATGAATGAAGAAATGTTTGGGCATTCGTTTGCTTGCTTTTGATTGACCGATTGGTTGTTTGGTTGAAAAAATGATTGTGTTGGTTGCCTCCCTGTTTAAGTGACAATTGATTAATTGACTGGCATGTATGTATGTATGTATGTATGTATGTTTGTATGTATGTTTTCAGACACATAAGAATGTACGCACACATGTGTTTATGTTTGGACTTATGCGTATATATGTGTATATGAATTTATATGTATGTAAAGTAAAATAGAGGCGATCCTGTTAGGGTATTAAATAAAATATGCTATCCGTTTGCATGCTATTATACTTATTTGCATGACATAAACAGTCGTTGACTTTTCTCGCTCTGTGTCCGTGTCTATCACGTGTGTGCCTGTATCTCCTCGGACGAGATGCATCAGACCCATGAAAGGAGAGTAAGATGCGCAATGGTAGCTGATGTATGCATTAGATCTTCTTTGTCAGATCCCTTTGTTTGCGTTAATTTGTGTGTTCATAGAAATTACATCATCACTCTCTCCGGCTAGTGAATTCGAACACGTGGGAGAAAGGGAAAGCTGAGGGAAAGACAGTGTGGTGTCCGGAGGGCACAAGCAGTCAGTGCGTGTGTGAGTTTGTGTACTTTTGTGTATGTGTGTATTTCACGCTGACGTGTTTACTTGTATCGAATGTGTTCACATCTGATGACCAGTTCCACATCACAGTAGCCCTTACGCGGGAAGGCTTTGAGACAACTTTATGGGGACAGGGAGTTGATCATGATAATAGTTATGATGATTATATCCTGATGCAAACCAGTATAGGCGTATGAGGCTCGGGCGGTGGGAGTAGTGACATGGACGGTGTTGAAGCTGGCATTCTTTTAGGTTCCACTGGTGTAATCAATCAGGTAGGTTGCGAAACCGTTCCGGTCATCACTATCTCAAGCCTGCCGTACACAGGAATACTAACACGGAGACACAGAGCGACGGACAAGTTGACAGGTAGACAAACAGATAAATTAATAAGCAAGTAAATGAGTACAAGGATGAATGTGAAGATACACACAAATATTAATTTTTTGACAATGAATAAGCACCACCAAATGCGCGTTTTTGATTTTCCAGTGTTAACAACGGAGAGGAATACACTCTGGGACGCACACTCAGACGTACACAAACGGAGATTAAGTGCTAATTTGTCTGGTACACCTACCAAACAAGTCGTAGTTTGTTTGTTTTTAGGTGGAGAGGTCACCAAAGTATGCATCATTTTTTGTTTGTTTGTCTGTGTGTGTGGAGAATGTTGGGATAAGATACGTCATGGAGTGCTTGAATAACAAAAAAACAAGATAATGAGAGCTAGGATAGACGACAAAAAAAACATTATAGTGCTAGGAGAAAACAAAAGAAAGAAGAAAGAAAACAATATCCATGTAAAACCAGCGAACAAAAAGTGATTTATATCAGCTCAGAACAGCGCGAAAATTACCGACTGTTGCACAGACAACGATTTCCGACTCCAATGCACCGTGATCCATTACCAGTTGCTGGTGAATAATTTCAGAGTGGTATAAGAAACACACATATCACGACAGGTTACTGGGAATGATCTAAGTAGTTAAAAGCGAAATCACAAAAGGTACACAATGCGACAAGTCCGGAGCTTGGTCACACCACCCGCGTAGCTGATGAACTGACTGGAATGTGAATGCTTGAAAAGGTCATCGTGATCAGACAAAATATTTACAGAGAAAAATAGCATGTATAGAAATATGGAAGAAATGCATGGAATGAATGCTTACGGTATTGGAATGAGGTTCTGAGGTCAGTTATTCATTTATGCCATATCTGAAAGTACCTGATTTAGAAAGAGGTTGAATTCAACGTCGGATGAGCAGTTTGAATGGTACGAATTATTCAGTCTGGCGGAAACTGGGAGGTGCAAAGCAATGCGATGAATAGAAATGTTTATACTGTATATGTGTTGACGTGTGCTCGAATGTGTTTCCTCTGGATTCTGTTCCGGGTCGACTGCATAAAGCATACATTAATTATGATGTTCTGAGGAATGCTGATCAGTAGGGTTTGGTTGCGTCACTTTTTGGTCTTTTCAGCTGCACTTTGAGACGCTTCATTCCAATTTGAAAGCCATTCATTGCCTGAATGGCTGCGTGGGCACTTGCAGGGTTGTCGAAGCTGACGAAACCTAATTTATTTACAAAACGTGAGACAGACGAAATAAATGATATTAAATGAAAAGTAAAGATCAACAGAAGCATCAACGAGCGACGGATGACCATCATTTAGAGTTAGTTCATAGAAAAACTGCATTGATGATTTTGGAGACTACTCTTCTAACACAAATAACCGTAAGACCCACCTTCGGAAACCCGGAATTATTCTTCATGTTTTAAATGTAGAAACGGCACTGTTGTACTTTTAACTAGTATTTCCGCAATACCATATAGTCATCTTATAAACGGGTTAAAATTGGCATCGTTCTTATACTGCTGGAGATAAAATCCAAATTTAAAAATTACGAATATTCACGGTAGATTTTTGGTTGGTTTGATTCACAGATTCATTCACAGACAGCAATGAAATATTCTATGGAAGGCCGAGTGAACCCAGTTAACATTCAATAAACGATTTATCTGACAACTGCAGAGCGATACACTGGTTTCCCATTGGAATGGAGACTGTATTATACACAGCAGCATATTTTGTACTGCACCGCTGGAATCGCGATTACAGTGAGGAAGCACATCACAGTTTCCCGGAGACACTGATGCAACTATATGGACATTTCAAGAAACACGTTTATAGACCTACTATTAGAATTGCAAGTTACACAATGCGGGCAAAATAAGTAGAATGATTTCGATCTCTGTGTTTTGCAACTGACTTTTTCAATTTAGGTCAGTAATCCAACTGGATGAGGTCTGCACTTGTTACATTTATCTAGGCCTGTTGAAAGCATATTATTTGTGACCCATTGGAACGCCTATCGCCAGAGAAATTTGCCATGGGAAATATTAGATAAGGTAACCGACATTCACGTCGACACTATTCCTCAAATATCTAGAAAACGCTAGCCTGAATTAACAGTGTACCATTGTATTATTTGAACCCAAATGAATGGGCCGCTGATCAATTTAAAAACTTTGTTAGAATAATCGTTTCACTGAGCCGGCGAAAATGTTTTATGCTGTCAGGTTCCTTATAACATTTTTTTCAAATGTTCCCCGCCTAAATGAAAAAATGCACGACTCATGTAGTAAATGGGTTATTCAGGTGGAAAGAATCCGCCAAAACAAAAGTATGAAATGCTAGAAAGACGAAATATACTGGCGATTAGTCACCAGCAACATCATCATCATCATCATCATCGATCTCGCAGAAGATTATGAACTAACTGAGAGGTTGATTTCTACCAATGTTCTATGAGTCGAAGAGTGAAACGCGTCAGAACTACTGCATGATCCGACTCAATACAGATGGTCCAATAGGACATGCAATTTTGTACTGAACCACGCCAACGGTTGCTTACAGTTATGTGGTCAATTTGAGTCAACCTTCCTGGTGAACTAGAATATCAGGAAGCCGTTCGACGAGAGCTGTCAAAAATTGGTGCTAGACGAGAACAACCGATGATCCGCGCAGAACTGAAGTAGTCGATCACCGTTGTCTGTTTGCTGGGCGGGAAGAGCGAGGTGTCCTCCTAAACAGGCTTCAGATGAGCTCGGTTTTCCATCATGAGCGTTAAAATCACCTGTCAGCAATATAACATCAAAGTTTCGTCTCAACTGAATGATACTGTCATAAAATTTGTCCTTTCGTGAAGTGGGACTGCAGTTGGTTGGTGCAAATGCGAAAATGATGAACATACACTTGGTGTTGCTGCCCTTCCAAACACTAACCGAACCCTGGAGTCTCACTGTGCACAAACGACTATTGACGGGTATCCAATCTATCAGTGAGGCCTCAGATTTATCGTTTAGTACGATTACTACACCACGCTGACCCAGTGAGCGGACTACGTCATCTCTTGATGTATGAAGGAAAAACCTTGAGGACATACCCGGGTCACTCAGGTGGCTTATCATACTAGGACCCTCAATTCTGCCAACTGCATCAAAACGGAGCGGATAGTTTTAAGTGGGCTACTACTCAGACGTCCCAAACTTTGTTTTACTCTTTATCTTCTATACCCAACCCTCTCCTTTTGCCCCTTCTACTGATCCTTAACATCCCGTCAGCTAACTTGGTTGTCAATCGCCTAAAGTCGTTGCCAAATAGCCCTGTAAATAGTTTGCCTGTAAATAAAGTGCAGATTTTGAAACCTCATCAACCTCTCAGTCTGGGGGGGCTTCAACGTACGGACTCTGATGCAGGTCGGTCAATGCGCGTGTCTGGCGCGTATAATGAATTGCTTAGAAATCGATATCTGTTGCATATCTGATTATCCTGCGCGACGACCGTTGCAGTATGAATTTATTTTTAGATTGTGTGTTCATTGGAGCTTTATGGACGGTAACTGTCAGAGAGTTAAACCGCTAAGCAGGGGAACGATTAGGGTTCCCAACCAAAGCCTTTAGTTTTGAAAGAAACCTAATCGAAGGACAGCGGTTAAGATGGATTGGAGGCTTATCTACTTGATTCAATTACTCCTCTAACACGTTTACCGACTTAGACGCCAACTCAAGTCGAACCCTCAACCTGGAGGACCAAGAGACTGAACTTCGTCAGAACTCTACCCATTGACCTTCCAGGTATAAATAAATCTTTAACTTAACAAAAGCCATCCTGTGTAGCTCGTTGGGTCACAGAGGTGCACAAGCCATCACATTACGTTGAGCCGCGGTCTCATCGTGACGGCGGTGACTAGATTCTTTAAAAAAAACACGGTTCTGGGGAAGGTACGTCCAGCATTCTAGACACCGCAAATAAGCACATAGTGTTTTCCTTCTGCTAACGCAGAGCGTGTATTCTGATCAGGGTTAGCCTGGGGTTAATACAGGGAATTCAAGGTTACACCCGTCCGAATTAGAGCCATACTACTGATGATTCCTAAGGAACTGATCCGAACAGTTGCATAAGAAGGCTTCGAAGGCTTTTCCGTTGATACAGCACACTTGATAAACCTAAAGTTATTTAAAACTCGACGCATCAGAAGAGACACCTTGTTGCTGTAACATGTAATCTGATTTGGAAAATGAACAAGATCTCACCTCAAACACCAAGCCAGAAACAATTAAACAATTTTAGGCCAGTGAGGCAGCTACGGATGCTGAGCGTGCACTATGTGAGACATTCATTTTACACATTTGTGGTCGTTGGAACAAAACGACTCCTTGCTCAGATTGGTCTTATATCCTTCTGATAAGCTTTTAGTGGTCTGTAGTAGTGAGCGAATGGGCATGTGAACGTGTATGTGAGAGAAAGATTTAAACGAAATGCCCGAAAATAAGTTCACCGCACAGCACTTCACTACTGGTGTCTGTCTATTGTGAATACCCACGCATTTGTCAAGCGACATGTGAATGGGGAATTGGGTCACGGATAGAGAAAGGTTTTGGTTAGGTTGGTAGTTGCAGTTGTTGTGCAGTAGTTGTGCCTGTGTAAGTGCGTGCGTGCTCACTAGGACAGAGGGGAGGGAGACACTTACCGAAACATTTACTTTGATTGGTAGCCCGATCCACGTACACCTTGGCGCTAATGACTGTGCCAAACGGCATAAACATCTGAGCCAATTCGGGGTCGCCAAACTCCTGGGGCAAATGATAGATGAATAGGTTGCAGCCCTCTGGGCCTTTGTCCATCCAGTCGAAAGACAGTGAGATACCATGTTGGTGGTAACGACGATTATAACCGAGGTAATGATTTTGATATGAAAAGAAATAGTAATAATGAATTAGAATGAATAAAAAGATTTGTTTCATTCCCCTTTGGGGATGGATTTTTAGTAGAGTAAGTGATTTGAACGAGGAATGGTCAAATTTGTGCGTTTTATTTTTTTCTGCCCTGAGCGCGGTTCATCTTCGGTTTGCATCAGTTCGTATACTCTTTCATGAATCGTCGCGCTACATGATCATATGGGTCTCCACGCCCTTCACGCTCACAAACCTGAATTTGGACGCTTATATTTATGCGATTTACCAAGGGGAAACAGTTTGACATTGTGACTTGTTTGAGAACAAGGCATCGGTACCAGTTACCAAGCTGAAGTGAACACTCCATTCAAGCCCATTTTTGTGCGTAGATGAGAAATCCCTTCATTCTTAACTAGACCCAATGATATTTCAACCAGATTACTATCCAGAGTGCACGGTTCTGTATGTGAGTAGCAAAAGTCTAGGGCAAAATCTTTCTCCAAGTAATCATGTCTCCAGCCCACCCGTCTTCGATATGCGCATCCCAAATGATGAGGGATTAAATCTGGTTATCCAAGCACTTCAACAAAAATTGAAAGGGTACAAGCTTGAGTTGCTTTTGGCTATGGCTATGTTTGTTGTAGGCGTTGGCTCATTATCACATCACTTGGCCTCAGAATAAGCGTCTTTCTCAACTCCTAATCGGAAAGAGCTGGAGGTATTTCTCTTTCGCTGAACGGCAACACAAAACCTCTATGAGGGCGATATTCAAAGCGTAAGGAACCCTGAAAAAGTCACCCACACACGATATCAATGTATTTTCATCTCAAAGTTCACTATCAAGCGTGAGTTGGAATAACAGCGAAGTATCTGAGCACTTCGCATATAATACCTAGCTTCTCAGTAAAAGAATGACAAACTTGGTTGTCAATACCTATTTTGTTGATTTCCGAACCCAAAACTTTGTGACTTTCGATACAACAATTCTTTGAACTAGGTGTTTCGAGCCTCGGTTGCTGACGGTGTTGGAGTCCGAACTCAGAAGCATATGAATCAATGATCTATCGATAGAGAGCTAGATTATTTGAGTACCTTGGAACTATAGCGCTGATCAATCCACCAATGCACACAACGAAGCAGTGTGATCCACGTGAGTACATTCTATCCGATACACCGAGTCTATAATGAACAAGTGGTGTGCCAAGGTTAGTTGATTAAGTATTCGTCTCAAGGTATTGCACGAATAGCGTGAGTTTCATTTGGCTCTGCTAGGATTCTGTAACATGTATTAAAAAGTTTGCTGCATGCGCGTATTTCGTCATTGACTAGTTGACTAATTCTGACTCAACCAGACATGCGCGCACTTCACACTGCATTAGTCCATTTGCCTTAGCCAGTCAGATTTCAGTACTGAGCTAACTGTGCTCAACCATTTATTGCCTGCTGAGCTGCCCTGCTTGATCATACCTCGAGCTCACATAATACGTACACTTGTCATTTTTCCGTCTCTGCACACTCGCGTGTCCAGGAATGTACTCGTACGCTTTCTGAAGCAATTACTAATATAAGAGGAAAAGGAGTAACTTTCACATTGAGTTCCTCCTAAAACTAAGTACACAACAGGCGCTGGGACGTTTGTCTTCATCAAGGTCATTTTTAAGATTTCTACTCCCACTGAGCAAAGACAATTAGATAGCGCACAGTTTGACCATTCATCGTCTTTTCCTCCGCTTTGCTTTTTTTGTTTCACTCTCTGTCAGATCGCGACAGTGCTTCAATTAATCCGAAAAGACTTACAACGACAAAACAAATAGGATCGGCGTGCAAAATTGCAAGAGAACCGTATGACGAAGCAGTATCACTGTGGACAACTCCGAGGACAATATAAAATGGTATGCCCGAATACACGCACCCACAATGTGACGAATAGACGCGCACACACACACATAGGTACTGCAAACGAGGTCGGACAACAAAGCCACTGGTTGTGAAACAAGATAAATGGGGAACGAGTTGCTGGAGTTTGAATATAGTTGTGTTCAGTCAGAGAGTTAGCGAGAGGTAGAGGAGAAGCAAACGTAATGCCTGTTTGCTCAGTGTGTCTAGAGCCCAGTTAACACCGTCCGTGTGAAAACTAATATAACTAGCTAGAACAACAAAGACAACAGAGATAGTACACCAGATCGGATGTTGATACCAGTGAATAAGAATGATGAAATAGTCGGCTGATTCAGAGAGTAAACATATTTTTTCCATCAGTGCAAGATGGATACTATAATATAGAAATTCGTTATATGACCTGACTACATTTGTTACAATCATCAATCTGTTGGTATTTGTTAGAGAAAAACAATAATCAAGTCACTTATGGGTTTTGAACAATGGTATTAGATGAATCGTTTATTCTATACAACCCTACTCGACTGTTCGAGATCACTGTCAAGCTAAGGTTCGCATTAGACAGTATGCATAATTGTTATTTCGAGCAGCGATAAATATTTCAATTTGTACGAAAACTTTAAATTCATCTGACGTGTGTGTGGGGGCAGGGATTCGAACCTAGGACCAATCGACCAGATTTTTGTATATGGCAAATGTAGCAGGCAATTATTCCTTAATTCCACAACCTAGTGTCGTCATCAATAGAAAATGGTAAATTCCATAACAAAAACTGTTGGTTTAAGAGAACTGGCTGCAAAAGCCTTGGAACTAATAGTAGTTAAAAGCGTAGTTTCTCTGTGGGCTGCATGAGTTATTAGACAGAGCGATAAAGAAGTTGTTTGCCACTCCAGTTAGATGTTGGTGGTGAAGTGCGAACCTTAACACGAAGCATCCCAGTGACAGTGACTTACACCACTTTCAGATGGCAGCAATCTAGCTGAACACGCATTGCATAGACAAATCCTAGAAAACCGATCCCGTAGGACTAATTGTGTTATGATCCCCCAAAACCCAGTTCTAAAATAAAGCAAATATATACAAAACTCTATCCATTGCGTAGCAAGGGACAGGGGAATAGTCGCTTTGAATGTTGTTGTTGTTCTTTTCGAACTAACCCACATCGCTTTGGTGCAAAGCACTTTAGATGAAATGTTCTGAAACAACAGAATTCTCTCCCGATATTATATGAATGGGCGGGGTTGTGCGGGAAGATGAGCTGTATCCATCGGAATTTGGAAATCTTTTATTTGCAGGGAACGGTCATATTGGCTAAACTGGATTGTTTTCCACTTTATCCATTGGTTCTATTCAACCAAGGAGTGATGGAAACATCGAATCGATCTATCTTGACTACCGTCGGGATGGGTTCGTTGATAGCAATTCAATTCAACCGGAATCCAACCGAAAGGAAAGGGGATGCCACCAAGGTGAAGTGGCTCAGAGCGGAAATAAAAGCCTTCGAAAAAAGCTGCCTGATTGTCCCAGACTCATGTGATGAAAGAAACTTGTCCTGGAAAAGCAGCATCATACGAGAAACAGCTAAAAGAATGTCCTCTTTCGTTGGATGATAAGACAAATAGCAGTCAAACAACAATGGCGCATGCTCTTCGGTTGTCCTTTACAATCGTTGTTGGAATTGGTTCAAGAGGCTTATGAAGAGTGAATCGTTAGGGAATCTACGTCGTGGGAGCAAATATTCCTTCCCTAAGCTCACAAACAAAGTTTGGTCGTGGGGAAGAAGGTCGGCTGGTACTAGGNTGCACTATATCCCGTCAAACATGTGTTGGTACTGGCTCCGATGTGTGAGAGTGACAAATTAATCGTTCGAAATCAGTAATGTAATTTTAAATTTTTTGCGAACCAAATAGAACTAATATAAATCAGAGATTGAAAACTCTAGTGGAGGGTTATACATAGGTTGAAGTAGAGTGAAAGAAATGAATGGGAATAATTAATGACAACGTTTTACATTGATTGACTTGAAACTACAACAAATGCATTTAAACAAGCAATATCTGCCTGGATCAGTTAGAAAAACTAGCGTTTCATTCAAACTTTACATCTATCTGACCTGAGCCCCGGATAACGCTTACAACAGTAACGTTTTAATATCGATCGAAGTGACACATGCCTCGAGGCAAGGTAGCAATGATGTGGTGACTGTTTTTACCACTTTTCCAGCCTGTACATGAGAACCGGTTCGGTCAAGCAGAAGACGAAATGACGGCCGCGAACAATGGTACTAGTTGTAAGAAAGCCGGAAACAGTAAACCGCTAGGTGAAAAGAAAAATAAGACAATTACACACGTACACAGACTGCACGGAATGCAATAATGTCCATTCTCATCCATACACCGACATATACATATTTGGGAACGGTGCTGCCTCAGACGCACAACGCAAAACAGCTATGGAACCACATGAATATTGGAAAGAGTCAGTCAGGAAAATGATAGGATACCGAATAATTATTACCAGTAATTAGATAGCAAGTCACGTTGTGTGTGTAAGCAGAATGTCACCATTGTGAAAGATGAAATCATTTGTGTCCATGTTTGGTCTCTATGCGCATGTGTGTTTCTAATTTGGAATATTGTTACACAGGGAGTAACAGTTAGGACATACATACCAATATACAAACAACCAGACAGACAGACGGACGAACAGACAGACAAACAAATATCAACACAAGCGCACGCACTGTAAAAAATTACCGTTGGTTCCCTGCTATAGGATGGCCTGTTTGCAGTTTATCAAACGGGGTTGGCGGGTGGAAAAAAGAAATGTGGGTTGTCACTGAATGCAGTCGCACAGAGCGTCAATATAAACCTCAGGTAACAGAACAGAAAGAATGAGAGAAACCAGTGACCGAGAAATTTTTATTATTACTATTATTATTACAGATAACCTAAATAAAATACGATTAAGCTAATACATTATTTTACATTATTTGAATATGTGAATTAAATCGTTGTCCTATTCTAAATTTTGATTGGTCACAGTCCAACCGGTTTGATCTCTTAAATGATCAACAACAGGAAACTCATGGTGTCGATGACTACATAGATCATTATTATTATTAACTGAAGCTCAACTATGGCAGTGTTTAATCAGGGTTCAACGGAAGTTTTTTAGAGTATGGATAAAATCCTTGTTATATCTGCAACCATATCATCAAAATAGCACTACTCATACACTCTGAACATGAAAAAAGCAATGCATTGCTTGAACCAACAAATGGATTTAATCCATGCTCAATTGTAGCCTCGTGGATATTGGCTTTAAAGTGGCAACTAAGGCCAGACATTGAGGCAAACGTGGAACAGTTTATAGAGCATTGAGTCAGAAACTTATGATTTTATTCATTGAGAATTTAACCATAACTTTTTGATTTCTCCATCGTTTTTCTAAATATCTAGCATAGATTCCAATGGTATTCATGATACGATTCCGTCGAAGGAGATATCCAATGGCACGCCTTTTGTGAGGACTTCAGAACAGAGAGCTTCATATGATGACATACAGGTTGATTACTAAATAACCTAGTTTGGTACATAGTGTGCATTCAGATGTGCGTGAAATACAATGAAATACATCTTGGCATAGAGGGTAATATCCTCCATACTTATGATGAAGGTCAGGTCCCGAAATCATCTGAATTCGATTGGAGCTTATTTGTGAAAAAACGTGTATGGTATTCCGGATACATTGTGGTTCCCTACCACGTTCGCAATTTCTCCTACCTATGAAAAATCGTAGTGGACTCCGGGAAGACCATTTGTTCCAGGGCAGTGTCCTATACGTATATGGTTTTGCAAAACTTAGGACAAACTGATCAAATGTCATCGTGAACACCATCCGGGTAAAATAAAGTACGCTCAGTACACCTACAACAGATAATATTACTGAACTAATAAGCTACACGTATATTGTACTGTTGTTGGATGTGAATGCATCGACTGAAAATGGTTAAAACAACCAAACTGCATACAAAACCTGATGAGTCATATGACAATGTTCCCTGTAAAAAACAAAATCGCGACTACATACCGGTTATGATAAGATCTTTGGTTCCCTCCTTCTGTTGTATTGGCATGGTCAATGCCTGTTGAGCCAATGTGGCAAACGGATTCAAGGCCGACGCTGCAGCTGCAGCAGAAGGGTATGCTGTGCGAAGAAGGAAAAAAGTGAACGTCTATGCGAAACGCTCAAATGACAAAACACAAAACATATGGGATACAGGTCACAATTTGTTTCAAACAGAGAGAGAGAGAGAGACAGAACTGGCAGTGAATGTTGAACCTGCGATACAAGATAATGGTTGTATCTTTTGCTTCGGTTCATCTACATGGACAACTACGCAATCTTTTTTGTGGGGAGGAGGAGGGGGGGGGGGGTTGAAAGAGGAGGCGGACCACAAAAGAATTATTAATGGACACAGAAAGTACGGAAGTCAAGCAACAGAAATTGGATTCCAATGGAATGTCTTTGATCTGATTTTAGGGGAACGCTTTCCACTCGACTAATATCGTAATAACTGTATCACTTTCTCTTCTATTTGCCTTTCAACTAGACAAAGACATTAACATATAGTCGATACTTTGGAAGGGCCTCTTATACATAATCAAAGATAGTCCGAGGAAATCAGATAATCACTCCAATTGTCTGTGAATCTATACGACCTAGTCACTCTTCCCCAATATATAATTTATTCACGTGATACATCTGTATGGTAGAGCGTATCTGGAACAAGTTAATGTGTATTTTTACACTTACTAGCATCAAAGGTGAATACATATATTCCAGGATTAGTGGTCTGATGTGATTAAAAGGCTTTTTCGGCTATTCACTAAATCTAACCGATCAATCATACAGTAACCAATAATATTTGTCCTCGATCAAAGTTGTAACTGTCATTTAAGTGTGAAATAAAAATGTAGCCTAGCAGGTTTTGGGGAATAGTGTACCCAAATTTGCAAGGAAGACCTCATTTGGAGGGAGGCTGTTGATTGGAGCTAACAAACAGTCAACAGTATCTATCTTGGTTGCTGTCCCACGTAAACTGAACTAACTGACTATTTTTCAAGACGACATCGTAACAAACATGAATGAGTAATTCTGGTCACACCTGTCTTCCAGACCAGGGGTTTGGAGTTCAAAGACCAAAAGAGGTGATAGATATGCACCACTGATAAGGTCTCAGAAGAGAGAAAGTTGGATCCATTGTGATTCTCGAGTGTAGTATGGTAGAGTGGATGAACTGAGGATTGTGCAGGAAGATAAAGATTGATTGATGGTTAGTCCAAATCAACAAATAATAAGTTTATTTCATATCAATCGCGCTCGAAATTTTAAACATAAGAATAGACTTACCAAGTCCATAGGCTGGTACACCGGAATAAAGATGAGATATTGGATCAGTTGGAAGGCCAGAGAGTGGCGACGCCAGGGAACTGAGACCTAATGAAAAAAGAGGAAAAATAGAGATACAGTTAGTTGTTTAGGGAGAGGAAATTTGTATTCTTTCTTTGTGTTCTGACTGTAGACATCATTTGAGTAATTATTCAGTGTACCTAGCTTGTATACCTTGGCAGGATTATGCGCGGTCCGATTACCATCACTAACTGCATGACCAATGATTATCCTAAAAATACCATTATTCGAAAACTGATTGTCCTTCTATTTAGTGTATATACCAAACAAGCCAAGCACACGCAAAATTTATTAGCTAAAGAAAAACCCTAGATGAAACCGAATGCAAGCTAATTCAAAATGAAAAAAACTGAATTGAAATGGAGTTCATAGTGGGGTTGTAGGACCGATCCACTCCGGTTTTCCCAATTCAGTCATCTGTCTCATTTGATCGTTTTAATTAAGCTGAAGCTGTATGTCATTGGGGTGAATATACGGCCATTACTTCACTCACATAAACGCTCCTGATATGAGATCAAAATAGGCTAAGAGCAAAATGGTGCGTTGGGGTCAGACGTTCTAATTGATTCAGTTCGCTATAATATTTTAATGATCATATTCTTATGCTTATGGATAATGGCTTCGTACCCGAATTATAATGGAAACAGTAGCATACCCATCATGTAGTTCATACTTCAAAGGAAATTTATTTTGGCTGACTTCAAAATCAATATCATGAAAACCATGCAGTTTCAGGGAAGTTTTGGTGCAGGAGATGTTTCCAACGTTCTCCGACTACTGACCCTGGCTCACTCGGAGCACACTCGTCATTTTCTAAGTCACGATGAAAACACAGGATCCGTGTCTTCCCACCAATTGGATAAATTTGATTTATATCCGTTCGGTTGATCTCGCGTTGCAACTACGGAGTAGTTGTTTTCTAATATCGTGCGTCGTTTGCTCATGGATTTTAGGCCTCCATTACAAATCACTCACACCACTTGTACCCCAGTCGAGCGGGTTGTCTCCGTACTNNNGAGCAACCAACGAGAAACGGCCAAATGAGACGCAGCTGACCAAAGTGGTGGAATTTATCCCGACGGACATGATAGTTCCTCAGCTCAGACGTGCGGCTTCTATGAGGTAACCACTTCGAAATATATTTCGGAGCTTTGATCCGCCTCGCCCTATTCCAAAATGCGTTTTCCGGCCGAACGTGACCTGTACAGTCTTCAATTTTATGGCCCATCAGACACCGCACAAGTAAACTTTTATGTTCCCGATTGATAACAGTGGCAACCTCATTGCCAACCGAAACGGTAACTAGGTATGTCCCTAGAAGAAATTAATTTACAATTAGGAATAGCTGACAATATAACACAAACCTTCTTCACCACGTTTGATGACAACAGCTTGACTATCGCTGGTTTTTCGTGCATTGCTCACAATACAGGCTGCGATAAGATCGATTTCATCATTCAAAGGGAAACATGCTGGGTTGTTTGAAATCCGGTAGCTCCCCGACAAAAGAGTTATAAGTATGACATTTTGATGGTCATTGTACACCAGTTGTTGCTTTGAGCAGTACTACTGATAATAGGTGGGCAGTTGTGAACGCATGGAAACAGGAATCAGGCACAAGATACATATAACCAGGTGAGAGGTGTTCATCATGCAGTAAATCAGAAGATTTTCACCAGACAAATTTTACCATCAGAGAGAAGTTTCAGAGAAATATCGTCATACGAAATGACAGACAGAGATTAAATTGAATGTGATTAACTACCACGTATTGTGCGCATTGTATTTATATTGGTTTCTCAAGGGAGAGGAAAAGTAGGTTCTTCGTATTGTTAAGCGATATGCATATATATGATTACATTTATGTACCATTTATTACAACCAACAAAACAAATCTACCATAATGCATAGAAACTGAAATCTGGATCCAGACTGACCTGCTTGAGTGAGTGGAAGGGATGCAGCCATGAGACCACTCAGTGCTGCAGTACTTGGCATATGTGCACCGGGCATGGAATGCAACGTTAGACCGGGATTCGCTAGTCCAGCACTTCCAAGGCTCAGTGTCTGAGCTGTGAGCCCGTTTGCACTGCCCGTAACACTTGGACCGCCACCCGCAGTCCCGCCGGTCTGTTGGTTAGTACTGGCCATGGCAGCCACTGCTGCGGCAGCCATTGCCGCATTCGTTCCCAGCCCGGCTGATGAGGACACACCACAGCAGTCTACCGTATTCATCCCGGAAACTGCGTTCACCGAGGCCTCGGTCGATCCGCACACACTTGAGCTGCTGACATTGGCCAATTGAGCGGCCAATTGAGGAGAAAGATGCGCATGAGTGTGGCTACCAGCTGCCATCGCAGCCATTGGATTAGCGCCACAGTTTGCGGTTAATGCACCGGCTGCTGCTAGCGCCGCTGCTACGGCGGCTGTGGTTGTGGACACGGTGGCATTTTGGGGCGGGCGTGAAGCATGTAATAAAGAGGGACACGTGACTTGTCCAGTCCCCCCAACTCCGGCCATCATAGCTAGGCTGGCTGCATTGGCTGGCAAGTTGGCCGCAGCAGTGCCGGCCAAATGACTGTTTGCTTGTTGTAGCTGAAGAGCCAAAGCGGCCACGGGATTGATGTAGCCGGTTGTTTGAGCCATGTTCTGTGAGAAAAATGGTATTACTCAGTATTCAACAATTAAGTTATTTCAAATCAAGACAAAAGTTGATCCCGACGGAGTATTCCCTTCATTTAAGGGAACAATATATTACAATAAAGTGGAAAAAATCACAGTTAATCATTAATAACTGAAATTCTTTGATTCCAACATTTTCAAAATGTATGTTTGTTCATACCATTCCTTGATTTGATTAGATGGTTCAATGAGTCAGAGTTCAGAACTCCGTCATTTTGCACGCAGGCGGTTTTGTTGGCAAAGTGTTTTAGGGTCTCATCCTTCTGTCTAGGATTAAATGCTTTAATATTTGAGTCCTTACAATGTGTATTGTAACCACTTCGTCATTCTGGTATAAGCTCGATGGAAATGCACTGAGAGTTGCTCGAAAAAAGCTGTCGAAAAGCAGTTGAACACAATTTCCAGAGCTTTTCATTTGCATATTTGACAAGGTGATTATGAATCGCTTTCTCACTCCTATCAATAAGATGAATTACGCAATATGCACCTTGGCTCGATCTGCACAGAGTGCGCTATTATTGACAAGATGTATGTCAAGAATAGCTGATCTCCTTCTAAACCATAATAGCTGATATCCAGCTTTAGAGTCGGAAGAGTGCTACATAGTGCATTAATGGCCGAAAACCAACCATTTGTGTCAACCCAACTCAGTGGAATGAGTATAGAAGTCATTCAAAGAATAGTGGCGGTAAGGTGACGAATTTGATTGGGATGTATCATCATAAGGAGAGTGTTTGCCTGATTGTTTGTTTTGAAATTCTAATATTTCCAATGGATAGACATCAGAGATAATTTTCATCGGGTATACAGGTCTAATCGAAACTGAAGCAACAGGTCCCTGTGAAACACTTGTATGTTCGTATAGGCACGTTTAATTGACAATTATGCAGCCTAGAAACTATTTAGATCCCAGTATACAAGATACAAATTATTGTCCATACATAAAGCATTAAAACAAGTAATAAATATAATGAAACACCATTTGATCATAAAGAAAATATTTCAGTGCATCACAATCGACCAGTACTGTTTATATATCTAGTTATCCGTGGTCGATGGTAGCTTTCAAATGTCTCATTTGTTTGTACACTAGCTAGACGACCATATGTTCGGTCATCTAAAGCAAAAACCGTGCTGTGGTTCTCATTGTAACGGTCGCCAAATTATCACCCCGGAGGACGTGCATTGGAATACCACCACCACCGCCTGACTTGCCCTATTATGTGTGTTGTACAGCAGCCCTTTGATTGGTCGCTTCCCCCTTCCAGAAAGTTTTATCATTGTGTATCCAATAAAAGGAAGTGAAGATAATAAATAAATAAATATTGTATGAAGACAAGGACACTATGGTCAAAAATAGGTATAGCCCGAATTTAACTTGGTTTGGGTCAAAGTTTGCTTCAGTGCATTTTCAATAATTTAATTTCAGGAGCGGATAATTTCAGTTCAGGTCTGTCCCTAATCAACTGTGTTTTAATTTTCCCAGTTGTATGAAGGTTTGCTCATATCGATCGAGTACTGATCGATCCGTTTGTCCATCCGCCAACGCAACAATGGTTTGGGTTATCCGCTCACAAGGCCGGTAGCGGTGAGCCGGATGCTGTCAATGGGGGAACGGTGTGATACGATTGGTTCTTCATGATTGGTGGAGCATATGCAGCTAACAGTGTGAGCGGGTAAGCAGACAGACAGGCAGACGGGCAGGCAGACAGGTGCTAGTCCATTTTTGCTTCCCTTCTCAGACTGGGGTGGGATTGGAAGGTGAGTCACCTATCCCAGTTCACGTGGCGTACGGGCCGGAAGTTTAGATGAACCGTTTATGCAGACAGCCTTCTGAAGGCAATATTCAGATGATAATCGTTACGTTATCATTCTGAGGATTAACTGTATACAGTTGCGTGATTCTGTCGACAATTCTGGATTCACCCGAGGAAAACTAATGCAATTACTTAAGCTTATCAATTGATAAAGAATAATCGGGGAGAATATTCCAAAAGACGAGATTCGGGAGAGGTAGAGGCAGAGGTGGGACGTGACCTTGGCGATCAAAATTGATTTGTGTGATCTTTTTCATTTTGTCTTCCTTTTATTTGATATACAAATATGCAATCTTCAGGAAGGGGGATACGGGCAATGAAAGGGTTGCCATACGGCACATTGAGAATGAGGAAGTTGAGAGATGCTGGCAGGATTCAAGGACACGTCCTCCGGGGTGGTAAGTTGGTGATGTTACCACCGGGTCACCACCGCCCGATAAGAATAACAATGACGGACTATGAAGACATAAATAAAATGTTTCTCCGTCCGTATACCGGGTAGTAGTGACTATACCATATACAGCTGAGAGAATTTGCACAGAATTGGCGTATTAGCATAACAACCTAGGGTCACAGACATATCTTAGGCCTAATCCTGATATTGATCATTGCTGATTATATAAGAGTTAAGTAGTTCGATTATCCATCCCAGGTGTCCATCCATGTTCGAATCCTACTGGACCTGATGCCGCTTTATCAACTCAGGGGAACCAGACGATCACCCTCTTCAAAATTCTTTCATTTTGATAGAAAGATTACGAATGACAGGTTTGCATCTGTTAAAGCCCTGATGTTCACTGACGGAAGCGCTTTGAATGCAGGAAGCATCGAGGGTGCTATCCGATCAACTTACTGTTGAGTTGGAAAAAGTTCAGAGTTGAATTAGGCTAAATTTCTGAAAGAAATATTACTCTAACCTGAAACATTTCCCATACCTAGACCTTTTATCACTAAAAGTGTGATATGTTTGGAACAAAAAATCAGCACTTGATAAAAATGTAAATATGGCGAAGTTCGTCATTTAATGAACAAATTAGTGTACTATGATAAATTTTTCTGGAAGGGGGAAGCGACCAATCAAAGGGCTGCTGTACAACACACATAATAGGGCAAGTCAGGCGGTGGTGGTGGTATTCCAATGCACGTCCTCCGGGGTGATAATTTGGCGACCGTTACAATGAGAACCACAGCACGGTTTTTGCTTTAGATGACCGAACATATGGTCGTCTAGCTAGTGTACAAACAAATGAGACATTTGAAAAACTACCATCGACGATGGACAAGTATATATATATATATATATATATGCATATAATTATACATAATGATAATCCGTAGTTACCCAAATGACAGTGAAGGCTGGAACGTGATGCACATTCACAAATTTGTCCGTCACCTCTGATATGTGGACCATAATGTCAAAATGTGTAATGCACCGGCAGTGTTGCTCCATTGTATGAGGGNTTTTATCATGCATAGAACAATGAAGCTGGAACGGAAAACTAGGAAGCACTGGACAGCTGTTTCTAGCAGGTTGGGTCTCATCATCAGTGCGAATCCATCAGCCCAACGGGGGACCAGCCCGGGACCATTCACGCTGAGCACAAGCATGCTACACATTGGGCCACCGGGCAAGCCGGTTTTCACAATCTACGTTTGCGAGCTCAATGCAGGTATCAAAAGATGCTCATCGCAGCACAAACCTCCGGGATTATGATTCGATCGGGAAAGTTTCTACCTGATTACATGTTCACGCTTTCTTTGCTATGCACACGACGGAATTCACTATAAGATTAAATCAAGTCCGCCGCTACTCTAATACAGCATGTAACACAATATCAACGTGAGAAACCCTGGTTATTAATTCACAACCAACCAGATTCATCATTCTCAAAAGAGATATACTACTTTGACAGCCTTTACTCATAAAAGAAACTCTCTCGATCAAATTACAGTCCAACAAGCTTGAATAATAAAATTATACAACCCAAATAATTTTCCTACATAATTAAGAGGTAAGCAAACAAGCATTTAGTGACAACAAACATTGAGACGTAGCATTCGCATGAAATCATTGCATCTTCCATATTCTCATTTAAAGTGCAGTTAGTCAGTGTGACATTTGTAACTAATTCACTTGTAACCCATGCGATTTATCAGTCAACTTTGATCGACAACAAATGCCTGGTAATCACGAAGTATTGTCACTTTTGATCCAGGTGAATCCAACGGCAGCAGATTCATTGTACTGGGCTTGTGTGTGAGTTTCACTCTGTTATTTCTCAAGCGTTCAGCGCAATTCATTTTTGGCCGAATTTCTGTACTAACTGATAAAAAGCGCTATGGACAGCACCGAATCGTGCAGCTAAGGAATAAGGGGTTTAGCCCACAACTGGAAGGTTTGAGTCCAAACAAGAACACTCATGAGAAACCTGGACATGAAACAGTTGTTCCTAGTTCTTTGACGTCTATACAAGAGTCAATTTTTAGCGGTCGATCTGCGAAATCTGTCTTTGTTTTCGAACATAAATAGGCAAATATTAGAGTGATCGATAATTTCTATCTTTGGATACCTACTATAGGTTGATTATATATAACTCATGGATATGGAGGACCAATCACGTGTCACTAAATGAAAGGTTTTGAGTTCTATAACCGGATTGGTATTACTAAATAGGTTGATAAATAAAAAGTTGATTGATTCATTGAAATGATCTTACTCTTGTTTCGATTGAAAAAATGGAACGTGTTACATAAAACAACCCGTGCCAACTGTTTGGAGAGCAACAATCATACTTACTTCGAGCATCTGAGAGTACATATTCCCGCTGAGCTGAGACAATGCCAGAGTGGGACTAAACAATCCCATTGGTCCGATGAGTTGCTGAATCTTTCGTGTGTGTCGTTCCTTCTCACTGTCAGCAAATTTGACGACAATACTGGAAGATGCACCCTGTGACACACGAATGGAAAGAGGAACATGAACAAAATAGATTGAATTGACGATTGAGTCCGTGGATGTCTCAACAAGGTCACACTTTCTCTATAAAATGCGCATTTGTTTTTAGGTACTTTGTTCCAGGTGAAGGTCACTATGCTGTCAGATGAAAACTGAATGCGGTCATTACTCATCTGGAAGCCTCCTGAATTAGCGTGCTGTGGGAATGAAATATGTTTAACCAACAACTTACTTCTGTTGGTAAACAAAATGTAACGTNGGGGCGCTGGACATTTTTGACAAACTCAATGGGAATGTGACTCGCACACCAGCTGCTCCCCACCCATTCGTGTGACGAAGCAAAAGACAGAGAAAACTTGATCGCTTATACTGCAATTCATCATTTTTGTGCCCGAATGGAAATTTTGTTCGCTGTTATTCTTTATCAGTCACTTATGCCACTCGTTAAATGAAATCATTTTCCGCTCCTTGATGTCTTTTAACCAGTCAGACTACAGTTCATATGTATTTTCAGGTACTCATTGACGCTCCTTGTATTCCTGTCTTTAATAAACATATAAAGAAACACTGAAGCCTTAGGAAGGTGTCTTTAGGGCCAATCAAAGGCCAAAAAGCAGCTGATCACTCTCAAAAGTATCTACCCTTTTTGAAAACCTGGGCATGTTTAAATTATGACATATTTGTAATACCCTTGAGTTTTATTTCTCCACCGCTTCTCCAAAATTCGGTTTGGAAAATTCGTCATTCATCACGAGAGGTTCATTAACCGACCAACCTTATTTGTTATTCGCGGTCTAACCTACAACGATATAGCCTCCGAAAGCCTCAGTATGATCGGAGATGGGTGTCTCGGGTTGCGAATAAAATCCCTGATTCCAAGCCAATCAGGAAGAGGAGTACGAACCATGCATAAACCTTCCTGGTCGTGGTAGTGGTCGCCGACTCGATTGGGCATCGAGGTATATTGGGCACCTTGGATGTTTAACCCCGTCCAAAGGGTTCATGATCCGATGAACTGGACACCGGCTTCCAATGGATTGCGGTTTCTGCAAACCGCCTCGCTGCACTGAAGACAGGCTTTGGCTAGACGAGGGCTCCGGTTGGGAACTCCCTAAGAAAGGTGACCTGCTTTTGCCTGGGTAACTTAGAAGTACCATGCCCACGAGCAAATCATAAAATTTTTCCTCTTGTTATAAAGATTATTGTACCATGATTTGTTTGGTACATAGTCTGAACTCAGGCGTGTGTGAAAATCTAACCTATATATTTAAGGACATGGGGAATTTTACGGTGAAAATTTATAGGCGCCGCTTGACAGTTCCGATATCAACATAATTGAAGACACTTTTTCCTGTGTAAAAGAGAGAAAAGAGGTAATTCACATTCAGTCACACTTTTGGAGCTAAAGGCAGATACGTAACGAAAAACCGCATGACTTAAGCTCGGTAGACTTATCAACCATATGGTTGAACTATGCAGTGAAATACCGAGAAGAATTATCAACTCGCCTACAGTTCTTCTTCAGAGAATTACGTAAAGTGCATGCATGTAAATAACTACAGTAAGTATGTAGCGCAATGTGACACCATGTAATTCTACCGGGAGGTGGTGTTGGTAACGATCACCAAATTATCACCTCGGAAGACATGCGTTCTAATCCAACCACCACCATCTGACTTGCACCATTATGCGTTGTACGGTAGATCTTGCTTGGTCACTTTCCTCTCCTTAAAAATTATATTATTCTATATTCAATAAAAGGAAGTAAAAATGAAAAAGTGACTGAGGCTGCTTTTTATTGTCAAGTATTTGAGTTATGCAGCACCACTTTGAAATCTCTTGACCAGCATAACAGGGAACCGGTAGTCTATCATTCTAGATATGAAGAGGGAAGATAGAATTGAAGTAGCCAAGGGGCCTTTCAGCTGTGTTAGGCGTACTGGTAGAAGAGTAAACGATGTATCGTGCAAAATGACGGGCAGTACTTCATGCATATGAGCCGGACCTGAGAACGAGAACTCCGATTTGACTGTGTTTGTAATTGACCTCACATCCAAGAATACAATCATCTGGATTCAGTCGGTTCATGATGTTATCTTTGGTTGCGATCTAACATAAATCCTTGTGGACTGAAGACCGAAAACGAAGAGTGAGCAATGCGATCAAAATCACTGTTTCTTTCGTTTGGGACGTAGAATTTAGATCTAAGCTGTTCCGCAGAGTAATGAGCCGTCTCGATCGGTGAGGCTTTGAGTTACAACTGATCAGCAGCCATCACCGCTCAGAACACACGTATCGAAATGAAACGGTAGAGCTGTATCATTTCATGACGTCACAGTAAAATCACCGGCATGTGCTGTCGGTGTGCTACTACGTTGTGCTTATCATGCTCTCCTGGAGATAGACCTACCAGCTGTTACACGCAACCTTGTGTGTTTTGACCTTTCGTCAAAACTAATTCATGATTCTGAGTTATGTCAAGTATAGTTTTTCGGTTCATTTTTCAAATTTGAGTCTTCATAACCTTAAAGAAATAAAAGGATATGGAACGTTGCGAACTTAGGTTCAAAAGTTATTCGGGGAACTACAGATAATACAAACCTCAATTCGGATTGGTGAACAAAGAAATAAATAGTTACGCTCGATGGATGAGAAATAGTTGCCGTAACTTGCACAGCACTTTGTTTTTAGCAAAAATGCAATGAATTCAAATTTAACTTTCACAATTCTACTTCATTTCATGATGTTACCTTTTCTATAGTTAAAATGATTTCATAAAAAGCATTTAACTGGTGCCAAATAGGGGTCATGTACGGTATTTTTTCCGCAGTGGTAAGCAAGCGAAAGGTAGTGCTTATACATACAACCCCTTGTTTACTTACTTATGTAGTGTTTCTCGTCATTTTATAGTAATAAAGTTGTGGGTGATTGCTGCATGTATTTTTCAGCCCAGTTTAAACACTATGGGGTAACCACATGATATGGTGTGAAATCAAGCAACTATGAAATGTTTGATCATGTGATCTTATCTAAATACAGGATATTCTTTTTCTCCCTCTCCCTCACTCATTTCAGAAGTGAAAACCCTTTTCCAAACGACTTCAACAGTTTGGGGATCCTGAGCTTTCTACCGAAGACAACAGTTTGTCCACTGGTCGTTATGTATCCGCTTTCAATCAGGGTTCAACAGATATTTTAGTTCCCAAGGTGCTTCAGGTGGCAATACGAGCATTATTTTTTCGTTTCTGTACATAGATTGACTAAAATTCATCTAAGGGGCTAAATAAATAGCTCTCCAGACAGAAACAAGAGTTATAGTAACCGAATATTTAGACAAATTAATATTTTTAAATGACACGAACAACTGTTGATCAAGGGTGGTGGTTAAGTGGTTAGATCATCAACTTGTGACCTGGGAGTCTCGGATTCGAACCGATCCACCGCAGCCCGTCTTCTCAGGTAGCCTTTTTATGGCTGTGGCCCCCCTTCTATCTACAACCCTTTCATGGCGAGGGGATTTTCGTTAAATTGAAAACACGAAAGCTCAGTATTCGCTGCTAAAAATCAAGCTAATGAACGTGAGACAGGATGTCATTCTTCCGTTGCAGCTGACTCTCCACGATAGACAGAGTTGCAGTCAATACACATGAACTGATTGATATAACCTATCGATTACCGATCATCAAAATGTGTCTCAAAAGTCCTCAGATCGATATACAAATCATCCGTAACTTACCGGCATTGTTTGACTGCCATGGAGAGCCAAGATGGCGGATTGAGCCTCTTGTTGAGAGGAGAATTTCACAAATGCACAGCCTGAAGATAGAAATAATCATATTGCCTCATAATGTTGAGAACGACAGAGGTTTGAATTAGATACCTCAATGTGTGCTGAGTTTTCTTAGTAATTGAGGCCCAATTGGTGGTTAAGTTTAACACTTTTGTTAGTAGTTGGATTTAGTTTGAATAAAACTCAGTTTCCAGACAATTTAAAGTTGAGCAATAGCTTCCGGAGGTTGTAATGAGACCCGAAACAACAACTCTCGAGGGTCATCCTTTTATTGTTTAGGTACTACCTGAATGAAAATTCCGGACGCGTTGATGAACGTTGTGGTTTTTATGTTTTAACTTCACCTAGGCAATTACAACACGATTCCATATCTATTCGGCTCCCCTTCTCACATCAGTGATAAGCAAACTAGTAAACTTAACCGGAATGAATTTAAACTTGTATCTATTGGTTGTCTCATGAACAGTTCCCAAGTGACAGTATAGCTATTGGACGCGACTGATTGGACAATCAACCGACAATTTAGAGCCGATGAGGTTATCAGTATGGATACCAACTGGTATTAAAAGTTAAATGACTTTTATACATTTCACACTAATTATTCAAATTTTTCTGAAATTTTTCTAAAGGTAAGACTTGCAAGTCTCCAAATCATTTAATTTAAACTCTTTAAACACAGATTTTTTCTAGGATGGAGTGATGAGGTGTCCACCTGAACCCAAGTGGCGAGTTATGTCATCAGACCCGTCCCTGCCTGACTATTGACCAAATCTCAGACCTTTCCAGGATACTCGATTGACACTGGGATCTAATCTCGTTTTGTGCGGTTACTGTACTGGTCATTCGTACCATCTTGGAGGCTCTGGACCCTCCCGGCAACAAATCCATAAACTACTGTTTGGACAAGTAGGTTAAACTTATTTGTTCCAAACAACAATAAAATGGGTTGGAATCGACGTTTAACAAACGTAATTTGATCCCAAAATGACTTCAGTACCGCTGAAATTTTCCCATCAAGAGCCAATTTGGTTTCTGCGTGATATTTCCTTCCAAACTTATGAAGCATGACCATAGGGATTTATTTGTTAATGCATCTTTTTCTTGAGCATGATAATTATATATGTGAAATCCGGGAAAGAACAGCCAACTGCAGTTATTTATGATTGCACTGGCATTTGTTAATTACTCATTGAGATCAGACACATGATAGTAAATTAAGAATTAGTTGGTGAAATTTATCATTTATTTTGAAATTTATGGTCGCCGCAGAAGTTGATCAATTACCATTTATTGTTCTCTTTCGAATGGTTTCCCTAGGTGTTTCGGACGAACAACCAACGTACTAAACTAGAACTTTAGTGGGGAACCTTTCTAACGGAGTGAAAAATATGATCTTGTTGACACTTTGTAATCAACAGTTCATTTCACGACACAAATGGCCGTATTCCATGGAACTCTGTCTCCGTTCGTCTCGTGGCTGTCACCTGCACTCTGCTTGTTACCGACTGAGGGTCGAACCCTATCACCTCCACCCAACTTTGGTGGCGGTCAATTTTGCTGACTGTTTCATTGCCAAGTGTATCCCTCTTGGGCCTTTTTCTTGTTTACCAACCCAAGTTTCCGAGCTTAAATAGCCAGGTTCCATGTCGGAACAGTAGGTCATAATAGTAGTTTGTTTCGGACCTTCTACTCTTCATCACATTATGGCATGTGATAAAAAAATCATGAATTTAGATCTTGGTGCTGTGCAGTTGATTGAGTTATCAGCAAACGTAACTTTTACATTTCTAAGTCGAATGATAAAAAAGTGAATAGATTCAACAGCCTGGCCTGCTTTACATCCAAGAAATCTTTTACAACATTGGTTACCTCCATTTATGGATATTTTTTTGTAGTGTTTGATTAAATGCTTCCGCATGCCTGAATATGTTCTATGGTCAGTGTTTTGGGACAAGACACGTAACCTTGCCCTTGTGACCCACGAAATACTGCCATATGACCAGTCGTCCATAAAAGCCTCTGCTGAGGAGATCACATGATATAGATATTTTCCCACCAAAGTCACACATCAGAATAACGCACAAACTCCCCTTAATCTGGCAGTGGTCACTGGCTTTATTCTCTGCAGAGGTGTGTTGGGCACCTTTGACATTTGACCTCGTCCATAGGACGTCCAATCCTATGAATTGGACACCACCCCACCCCTAATGTATTGCGGTTCTCACACGTCACCCCGATGCATAATGGATCAGGCTCCGGTTTGTATTGTATTGAAGCTTAGCGAGGTATATACAGGCTTTCAGCCCCAAATAGACCACTGTTGAAATTCTGATAAAAAAAGAAAAACAGAGGTGAAGAGGTAAAACGTACAAAAATATGAGTCAATTACTAAGTGCATTAGAAAGCTCAGAACGAACATTTTCCTTGTCGGTTAGTATCCGGACAAGATACAGTACCAAAGAGTTTCTATATGCAGATGTGAGACAGGATAAGCATGTAATTAGAAAGGGCGGGATTTGCATGCACACCAGTCAATGTGCAGAAGGGTGGATGCAAGCAGGTAGGATGTTGTCAGCAAATATCAAGCACGCATCAATATGGGCATTTCACATATTGCCAATCAGAACAGATAACGAAACTTGGGAGACACGGCTGGTCAATGAGAGACCACACCTCAGCAACTTGAAATCAGCCTTCAGCAAACCAGGGAAAATGACAGGGGAGCAGTAAAGGGGTAAAGGGAGGACACATTGTTGAACGAAAGCGTTTATCATTGATAAGTCAGAACAGATGTAGAGCAGTCTTCTTGTCTGAAAAGAGAGACTATTCAACTTGTGAGTAACACTTTAGGTATGTAAGGACCAGTGAAGGTTACTTTCAAGTGTGATACCTAAGTACTTCGCATGGCTGACCCTGCTCATCGGTTTTCCATGAATCTGTACATTGTCGGAGGGAGATAGGGGTTGTGAATCACCCAAAAAGATTCACTGCTCTGCTCTGGGTAATCTGGCTGCATTCCATTCACAAGCCAATCATGAACCCATTTCTTTGTTAGGAAGGTTGTTATATCATTATGTTCTTAGCATAGCCTGGAGTGGACGTCTGAAACATACATAATGTGAAATCTGATTAACCTAGACCTCATTTTGAAACTTAGGTATATATACGTATGTATACCAGTATACCGGTAGTGACATCTTTAAGAGACCTCTGAACTACAGAGGAAGTGAAAACAAAGTCACAGAGATAGTGCTTTGTGTGTGGTAATTTCGAAGACGACGTAAAGCTTATAACGCAGTTAAGCCATATTCTGACGTCGATANAAGTTTCATTTGACCGCCGACGTAGTCCACATGCCACTACCTCTTACCAGTACTTTTGAGTGATTTTATTCATGCAGACCATCCTGTTCAGTAGGTCTACAATCGTATCTGGTGTGCTAAGCAACATTTTAATGTATTCATATCAAGTCATGAACTGATCACCCTGAGGGAAATTTGAACAATTCCTTCAGAACTAAAAGAGACCATACCTGAAAAACATGAGAAATTACTGCGCTTGTCATCGCAATTGGTTTCAGAGAGGAGAGTTGTTACCTCAGTGCCCAAACCCCAACTACTACCCTCACCCAAAAAGAAAAATATTTAATGCTCCCTGGTAGCAACGTTTAAAATAATTGAATTTAATGGTTTTATATGAAATGTGAATCAGTTTAACTGGGTTCATGAAAACTCTGATTTGTTTAACTTTAAAATTTACTGCAAGTTATGGCGTCTTTAGGTCAGCAAATAACGGTACACTGATTAAAATTGTCGGGTTATATTGACGTATACATTTAAACATGTAAATTAATGCTTCACTTTGTTGTTAATAGTCAAAAATGTCGACAAATTAGATAAATTAAAAATAAAAATTGGCCAGCTTCTGATTTTACATTTGGCAGGTTGAAACTCTATGCGTAACAAGTTTGCAGGAATGGACAAATCAGTCAGAACAAATTGTTGTAACTGCCAATTCCTGGGATGTAAAACATAAATTCTATTATGACAATTTGATTATTGCCTCCTCTATTTGGTCCGGATGAACGAGCTAATTGCTTTGCGGTCATAAATCACAACATGCGTCAACCGGTCAATCCGGATTTCGAGTGAACAGTAAATGCAAATTGTATTATTGATTAAAGATAGATTTGGTAATAAGCAAATGCCGCTTATCTGTTGCATGCAACCGGATGATAAAAAATGAGCATAACTTTTTTTACACGTCTGAGGGTCACATCTCGTTGTCCTTTGCTCATGCGTAAGCAACAGGGTTTTGTACACGTGAACAGTACGAGTATCATCTTTCTCTTTTTCTCTCTTGAAATGCATGACCCGATGAGATTGGGGCAAATGCAAATAGCAATCAGTGGACGAGACGAGCACGGAACGTACCTTTACTGTTCCCACTTTGATCACGCAATATGGTACATTCCTCGATTGTGCCAAACGGTTCGAACAGCCTGCGAACATCCTCCTCGCCTTGTTGTTTACTCAACATCCCCACAAACAACTTCCTTTCCTCTGTTCGTGTGGATTAGTTTGGGACCGTGGAAAGCGCGCGCGCGAGAGAGAGAGATGCCAGTGATTCGCGGGCATCGGTCAAAGGGGTGGGGAGGGTTACGGGGTTCGGGAAGAAACGGGAGATGTGAGCAGTTCGATGCAAGGATCGAATGTGAGGAAAATCAATATATTAAACAAGATAAGAGGAAACCTTTGGGGTAGGCGCTTGTGAAAATACAATAACACACATATATAAGTTGCGCACGAGTTTGAACGATCACCAACAATTGAGACACGGAAAGCTTTATCCGTCGGGGATACACGAATTAAAAATTGTCTTGATAGGTGAAAAAATAGAAAGAAACTAAAATTGGTTCGAAAACATCGAGAAGTTCTGGGAACTATTGGATTTCGTGATTGCCGGAAAATCCTTATTGAGTTTGTTAATTATCCTTTGTTCTAATAGGGAAGTGGATTCGTGCTTAGAAAAGCTTTGGATGAGTCAATTGTTCTAGAATGCGATTGTGTATCTCAGACAAATTGTTCTGTGTTGCTTTTTATACAAGTGTTGACGGTTACGTAGAGTCAAGAGGATGACTGTGGTTACGGCTGACTTCTGAAACACCTCAACTGTCGGAGTCACATGGCAACATTCAGTTTATTCTGGATGTGTTGAAAATGAAGATTGGTTGTACGATATCATATATATGTCTCGGTTCAGATTATGTCAAAAAAATCACAGCACAATAATTTTTGTAATAGGAACAAGCCCATCAACATACAAGTGGGTAGTGATGACGGGAGAGCTAGAGGAATTCTGGCAGGAGAACTTGGACATGGATGATATAATGCAATGACGATTCTGGGTTTGAAAACTATTCGTCTAGTCATTCAGACCAGCTCTGTCACGCGTCACCGTAGTTCTTCAGTCAATCCATGAAGAAGTACTCATTTATTTGATGTGCCTTATCATCAACCAATCAATTAGCCAATGACTGTACCCATTGTGTTGTTTACTGTATCCGAATACTCCTGTGATCTGCTTATCCGCGGCTCGAAAGAACAAAAATCATTAAACTGGAACCGACCGATGGCAATTCCGTCGAATCGATCCAACACAAAATGAATACAGATCGATTAAACACTTTTTCGCTCAATAATCACCAATTCAATAGGAAAGCCAAACAGTCACGCGCTGTCCGACAAGGCTGAGCTATCATCAGTTACACCACTAGTTGCTACTTCATTAGAAAGTACCCGAGCAATCAGCTTTCTTTATCTTAAGTCAACAGCTTGAACATTTTACACACTGGGATGGGGGAAACAGTCACAGGGGCGAATGCCACACTTCTGATCACTGATAACATACAGCTCAGGTAAAACACAAACACGATGCAACAGAGGTAGTTTTAAACCGGACGACATCTGAACTAGATCCCACCCTTGGTAGGGTTCAAACTTCGAACCTTAAATCCTTGTGATCAATACAAAGAGCATTACCACTATGTATATTACTACCGCAACCATTGTCACTCTCTTTTCAAAGATTTAAATCCTCGAAGTTGTACGTTGGGAAGAATGCTACTTTTACTCATCTCTTCCGTCTATTCGCAATCACGCGCATTCCGAATCGAGGAGGATGAAACGAGAGAGATTTTTAATGGGACAGACCGAAGAACGGTGGTGGCTGATTCATGTAAACTTTATATCCCAGTAGGTAAATGATTCTCCAATTCTGCCAAGGTGCCAGCGGGTTGGACTATGTCTAATGCTCGTATATATAGCCATACTAAAAGCTTTAGCGTTTGGCAGCTTCCTTGTTACCTTGTTTCCATGTATCTTTGTGGGATTATATCTGTTTCGCTGCTCAAAGTCACATGGCGCAGACTGCCAGTTATCACAACTGGGAAAGTGAGTCCTCGTGTCAATGTGGTTCACGTCCTTCCTCTGGTCATATCAACGGTATCGTGTTGTGAAAATATTTTGTTTGTACCAGGCTCAGCAACTCGGGACACAACTCGCCGTTTGCAGTGTTGTTGTCCTGTTTTTACTAACGCTCAAAATATTCTATCCAACCACATGAATCATCTCATAAATTGCAGACAGATTAAACCTGTAGGACTTGGTTAAAGCAGTATACCTTTTTTCCGATGAAAACACACATAACAGAGGATAAAGCGTCATGATTAGCACCCGTTTTGTACGGGTTCCTTGGACTGGATGAAAATACCTGAATGGGCCTTTGGAGTCCAAAATTTTACCATCTATTGAATGAACATTATCGAAACTGGTACGAACAATTTGTCTAGACTCGGCTGCACTTTTCTTCGTCCGTCTTGTCTCCCGAATGTGCATAGGGGCATTGAAAACTGACGTGTTTCGTTTTGTATACATTTCGATTGATCTTCAACAGTGCCTTTGAAAGCCTTGGATTTTCAGGGTTGGACAAGGTCAAGTTTTGACATCAAGAACTACTTACTCTCAAGGTATACGTCTCTTGCGGCATCCGCTGGAGAAGTTTTACTCATAGCCTTATCGTAACAAAACCGTTTTTATTAAGGTGAAACAGTGAAACAAGCTCGTTTTCAGTGTGTCTTTATAATGCCATCACAACACAATATACATATGACTATTAACAGATAACGATTTACATGGGAAAAGAGGAAAATATTAAAGTATTCAACGGTTTATATCATATTTGGTCCCCAATTATCATTTGCTCCGATGTTTCACGTGCGGTTTCACATTCCAGCCACAGCGGATGCAGTTAGTATCCGTCTTCACAAACCCCTCTGTGTGGTCAAAAAGGATTATTTTCGAGATCCTTTAAACTTTTGTCCCGCTGCAGTGGAGTTGATGAAGTTGTTTTAGTTTATTTTTTTATTTCCAGGCATCGTGACGCTTGTGATACATTCATTGACAGAAAAACACATGATCATGTGCACTGTTTGCATCAAGATATCGTGAAATCCCTGTCAAATCCCTGAACACGCTCCAAATATCAACTCCATCCTGCGCGTACTTCCCCATATCAAAACAGTGTAATTCCATATCTAGCTCGGTTACTAGTAAATCGTCAGAATATTCTCACCCACCTCAGGGAAAAACTCTTGCACTAATTTTTCTCTCATTTACTAAAGTGTAGAATTTCTTGTATTTTCATTTTTGTTTGCAACTGGTTTTATCTATCCACTGTAGAAATCGTAAACTGCTGAAAATTCATCCTTTGGGTGCATACAGCTTTTCTTTACTTAACTTGAAAAAGCACTCAAGCTCCCATGGACGGATTGTCGATAAGTGTGACCCGTCATGGAACATCGGAGCAAATCACAATTGGGACCAATTATGATACAAATTGTTGAATGCTTTAATTACTTTCCTTTTATTCTGGCAAATCCTTATCTGTTACCAGTCATATATATTGTGTTATAATGGCCTGATAAAGACACACTGAAAACTAACTTGCTTGCCAATGTGTGTTCTCATTATGTGCTCCGCGGGCCTGTTTAAACATAAAGTGAAAGAACGAGCGCAAAACGCCGATATTCGGGCACGTAGCCTAGGAGATGGACTGTGGCTGTCTGGTTCATCTTTGGTGAATGGTTGAAAATGCCTGACTTCAGATCTTCCAAGAAGAGGCGGACGAACTGTCTGCAATGGTCACCAAGGTCCACTGGATATCCAATATGTTGGATTTCTGAAAAGCAACTCAAGAACATTGTACGACCTACTGGACACCGCCCATAAATGAACTGCGATCTTTATACACTACCTCGCAGCCTTACGAGACAGGTCGGAGCCAGCCGAGGGTCTCCACTATTATTTTAACCGGTTCTGGTGAATGTAATCAGCAAATGGCATCGATTGACCGTACTGTGAATTGCTTATTTTGTATAACATCCTTTTCCCTTGATCCCTTTCTTATGTTGATGAAATGCTTATTTTGTCTTACGGACAGAACGCGCTTCGCCTTTATAATGGATTTGTAAGCTCAATTACTTAAAAATCAAGTGGTTAATATGCATACATTCCCTATTCGGACTCACAGCTGGCCAATGCTTCCCAGTCTCTCTGATCCCATTTGCTTGAGTAGTCCAAAAGGCTGCTTATAGACCCAATCTGAGATTCTGTTTAAACTTCAAACTGATCGTGCATATGTGTGTGTGTGTGTGTGTGTGTGTGTGCGTATTCACATGTACCTGAGTATGGGCGCAAAGGGCGAGAAATTCATATTGTGAAGAAGTAAAAGAAAAATCGTAGAGTATAGTTGGCTGTAATAGGTTACACCGCAAGCTTTTTGTCACGGAATTGTAAGGATAATGATGGCAATGGATGAGCATCAGTAGGGTGATAGATTTCTGATCAACTCAACACTCAGACTTAATCGATTCATATGAATTTAAATTATAATCTGTTATGTGTAAATTTCTTTCTTTCCACTTTGCTGCTTTCATTGAATGACGCAATGATGCAATTTTCAGAAAGAGGGAATCAATGACAAAACTGAAATCTATTTGAGAAAACGAGTCGGTGAGCGAACAATTGTTTTCGGATATTCCTAGTCATGCTCTTACATATCATACAGTGAAAAAAAAAATTTATTGCATAACGATAGCCATTGGCTCATTTCAAGGTCAATATTCGGAGGTAGGCAGTGATGGGTGTGTGTATGTTTGTGTGTGCGTGTGTGTGTGTGTGTGTGAAATCTATTTCGTTCGCTTAGTATTTCATGACTTTTCCAAGTCGTTAAACATTCAAATAAAGGTCCACATAAAGTCCCCGAATAACCAAGACGTGTTTTCCACATGCCGTTCATCATGATTATCTACAGCTGGCTACAAGAAATGAATTTGCATCTCAGGATGAACTGATCCCGATGTCTTTCCTCCATTATGTTGTATGGCAGCCCTTTGATTGGCCGCTCCCCCTTCCTGAAAATTGTACTTTTGTATACTCAATAAAAGGAAGTAAAAATGAAATAAAAATGAATGAATGAATGAAGCAGTAGGCTGATTATACGTCATTAGTGTAGGTTGGATGATCGAAATATGAATGACTAGTACGAGATTTTCACAAAAGCACTCAACCAGTAATTGTTATCCATTGAAAGATTTGTCTATCTGATATCCCACCGCCACCCGCAAAACAGATTAATGACCAGTGATGCAAATAGGATTTTGGTGATGAAATACAAAAATACGGATTACGTGTAAGGGATACACTTGACGTGAGGATATCCCGTATACCTGCTTGATGAACGACCACAGCCAATAAACCGATGAAGCTTTCCAATGAAACCTCAGTCACTCATTCAGACACTAATTATAATATGACTGATGTCTATTTATTTTTGGACAGAATCAAGATTGTTCGTCATTAAATTCATTAGGCAATAAACTGATATCGTGTGTGGATGCATCTTTCAACCAGTGTCAAACAATTTATTAGGCTCTAACAAGAGTAAAACTTGAGTCTAATGATTTCTGGAAATTTTGATTGAAGGGTGATCAGTCAATAACTAATCTAACCACTGTAAGAAATGAATGTATCAATTTGAAACATTGAATTTTTAAAGGACGAGGGGAGGGGATGGGTGGGTAGAGTACTCTGCAGTTGAGGGCATCAGAGATTCAAGCATATGAAACCCATCCGGATTTTAAAGTGAACCGATATCTTACCCGCACTGGATTGCCCATTGGAAGTATGATTTCGTCCACGCTCAGAGTTCGAATAATTCATACACTTCGCCCCTCGTCCCATTTCATTGCTGTTCAGACTAGGCTTACTTCCACAGTTGGTTTGTTTTTGCTCTTCAGTCACACCGGCTCCAACAACCCCAGCAATAGTGACACTACCCGCAGTGACGCTGCCACTGGTTTCCATGGGAGCCGTGTCCACTGGCTCATGTGCACACAAACTGGAGGTGACGTTTGTCATATCGTCACAAGTTGCACCAGTGTTATTCGATGGGTTTGCGGAACTCACAGTGCTATTGTCAGTTTGGTTACTGGCCGCTTGATTCCCGGTTTCGTCCACGGACAAATCACCTTCACAGTCATCTAATTTTTGATCGATCGAATTGCTTAGAGATGCATCAAACATTGCAGTTCGTATGTCTGCGGGAGCGATTGCGGATGGATATGTTGTAGATTCCATGCTCAGACTGGTCGGACTAAGATGAATGAATTCCGTGTCCACTGTTCGTAAAGTGCCCTCGGCGTTTAAAGTTTTCAGCATTTTGTTAGTACATTCCCCAGTACCGTTCACATTAGCCAGTTCCGTATCGGGGTGACCAGGTTCATGAAATAGCTCAACACTCATAATATTTTGCTTCTTCCTGTGCTGCGCTGCCAAGCACAGAATGTAATTCTTTGTCGAGTATGTACACACAGAGGGGCAAAGCGCAAACAAATACTCACGATTATCCTCAACAATGACAGTGCCTGCTCCAAGTCTACCGATCCTATGAAGCGAGGAAATCTGTTCGCGAATTGCTCAATCGGGGCCACACACGAACGAGCGAGCGAATGGAACGGGATTGAATGATTGAACCCGTACTACAACTCAAATAGGGTAATTGATTCTGGCTCGGGGAGAATGCTCGGTAAATCCCGCAGAGCTTATCGCAGCTTTCCTGCATCTATGGTCGCTTTGACTTGGTTGTACGTACGCACATGTACGCCACCCACATGCGCACACACATGCATATGCAAGCAATGACCTACGCATGCTGGTGACTGATTGACGGACACACGTATGCACGCATGCACACGCTGGCACGCGTACTGCACTGTACGGAACAGCCAGCTCCGACCACTGTCCGCCCGTGGATGATGCTGCTTGTAAATCCGGGGGTGTTGGATGTTCAGCTACGTGCCTGTTTGCTCCTTGTCAAAATCGATTGCAGGGGATGGCGGTAAGGGATGCAGGCCGGTGTTTCGAGTCCTGCCACCATACTAGGAACACTCGTGTTGAGTGAGCTCGTTTGGGAACGTGCGCATGGGGCGTGCGTGCGTAAGTGCTCTTTATGTATTTCCTATCCAACTCTCACTCCCATTGGAGGAAATTGGCGTACTGTCAGCCTCATTGTAATCAGTAAAGCGATGGACGCGTGAAATACACAACCGGGAAGGCAAACAGACACACGAGTTCCCTTGCTCACACTTACCGTCAGTTTCCGTACATGAGACAGGCCGATCAATTAAAAAAGAATATAGTCGGACAAAAAGCTGGTGAGAATCCTATCGGCACCGGGAGAAACTGGACCGAGATGAATATCACTCGTTATAGTTTACTATAGTTTTATGTAAGGCTGTCTTCCCTTTGAACATATTTATTTACCCAACCTGAAGTGCATACACACAGTCACATACTTTTGAGGGCTTCCTAACTAGCTACCGTGTGACCTGATTACTTCTCAACTATTGAGGGTTTGTTCTGTGATAGACAGACAGATAGGTAGGCAGATAGACAACTTCGACGAACCAACAAGAGGCGGGCATTGTTCTATGAACCTGCAGCTGACCGATGCCTAACCCACAAGGTAAAGTAAAAAAACGAGCGTGTCCCACAGAGGACAGGTGGGGTTGATTTGTGGGATGAGCGTTAGGGCGATAAAAATTGGCTTGCTCCCAGTTGAAACTTCTCTTCTCAAGCACATGGGCGACCATTTTAAAACGATGTCTAACAATTGATTCCATCTTGCCGATTCACTTTTGAACGACTTTCGACCTGCTTGGGTCTCATCAGCAGTGCGAATCCATCAATCCCGTGACATCACAGTTAGAACACAAGCGTACTACCGGGAAGTTGATCAGACCGTGGTTCGTTTTCCATTTACAGAATATATGTTTGAGAGCTTTTTGTGGGCCTCGTGCCTCACTCATTTTAGCACTAGGCACCTAACTAGGATCAAAAGTGCTATCCAGGGAAAATGAAAACAAATCAAATCTTCCATTTCTCCCATGAAACAAATAATCAGGTTATGAACGTTTCCAATCACATCATATCCCTGGAGGCTAGTGCTGAGATGAGCGAGGATCGATACTCGCAACAATCTCGCATAGACGGGTTTGTGCTATGTCGTGTTAATTCGAAAAGAGAAAAGGTCTGAGCAGCTGTCCGGTGGGCGAGTAGGTAGTATGCTTGCTTTCTATCTGTGAGGTCCCGGTTTCGATCCGCAGCTGGGTCAATGGATTCGCACTGCTAATGAGACCCAATCAGGTCGAAACAGCTGTCCAGTGCTTCCCAGATTTTAAGAACACCGAGAGTATTGTACAAATTGGTATTCGGCATTACTGTTCGAGGAGGAATCTCTAGCTCATGCACAGTCAAGTGTTGCCCGTAAGCAAACAAGATCATCATATTTGCCTTATTTAGTTGCGAGTCAGATTGGTTCAAATCAGGATCATTTTAGGGATATTTTAGTCCTTTTTTACAGAGATCGCTCGTGAAGGAAAAGCCCATGGCTAATTGTCCCACGACCGCTTCTTATTCGTTAAACCCATGTTCACCTGTTCACTTCTGGTAACCGTTCAATCGACGATCGTATGCTGTACACAGCATATATACAGCATACAGCATATACAGCATAGTGTCCCAGGGCTTCCGGGATTTGACTCACATGATTTAAAAAATAGTTCGCCATTGATACTCATGATTATCAAAAAATCGCAACACTAGATCGTTTAAAACTGACCTAATCGGGTGGCCTCATCTTGCCCTTCTTCCAGACTAACTATCCAGAGCCGAATCACATCTTAGAATTAACTAACGTTACTGCCAGTTGGCTGTTTTACCCACGTGCTCTCTCTCCTTAAATCCATCAAACATAAGTGCTTCGCACTTCGCACAGACTTCGCTCGATCGGAAATGGGACCCTGAGTATCAACGCCCCCCCCGTTCGCCTTAACCCCTGTCTGGTATAATTTCGTTTCAGTCTAAAGTAGCTAGAAGCATTCCTGTTCTAATTATGATTTCAATTGTTGCTCTACCCATGCATTTTCATTTTCTTCGGGGATTCGCTTTTTTACATACGTGTTTTCAGATCACAAATAGAATTGAGATGCTTTCGGCTTCTCCCCTTGCCTCACGCGCCACCTCAAACGAGTTTAATGCAATCTACCAGCAAATGGCATGTTGTTGGTCTGTTGTTCAACTACTAAGGATGTTTTGCAAAGCTGTGGGTACAATTTAAGAGTTATTTTTTAACATATCTAGGTTGTTGGCAGTCTCGAATGTCAGATACAAAAGAATGACGTGGATTTATCATACTACCAACAACCTATCTCCTCTGAGACCTCATTGGGACTGTGGTGAATTGAGCGTTTAGGTGTTCACGACATAGCAACTCTCAGTACCTCCATGAGTGTGAGGAATTCCGTTTACCTGGAATGGGATTATACAATGAACACGTAGTAAAACGTGATATATAGAACGCATAGTACGAAATATCTTGCTACTTGATTCTTAATTGCCTACGAATATTACCAAGCACATAAGCTTTGTCATTAATAGATGAAATGGAATTTTTGGTGCACAGAATCTTTCAAGATGACTAATGTAATTAACCTGGTAAGGATTCTTTTTTCTGGGCATGAACGCGTGAAGTCAGTTTGAAGGAATCATTAAGATCTAAAAGATTGCAGGAAGTTTGACGAAAAACCGATATATTTCCAGAGAGGAAATCACATCTGAACTGTACTGTTTGTTCTGTTTTAGACGACGCGATCTGGGGTATCTTGTTGAGAGGAAAAGGTCTACGTGTATCACCAGAGGTTCTTGTAATGATCCAACCTTTCAAGATAACGCCAGCCAAGGAGCCAAAGGTTGCGTTTTCAGGACAAACTATCAGGGGCCTACAGTCTGGGTCAATCAAAAGCCATTCGGTTTAAACATGAGTCCTGTGATAAACAGAATAGGAACAGTGATTGGTTAATACCTGTTGCGCCAATAAATATTCTTTTTACATATAAATTAATCCACTTAATTACGTTCAATAAAATAACCCTGGTTACCACTTATGTTCTGTCCCTGACTCTCAGTCTAGGTGGATCTCGGCAACTGATTTCCTGTGCTGAGCGGTGTTTTGTTTTCAATTGTGGTTCCGATTCCTGATCCACGCATTTTGTGAGTATTACAGTTCTTTTTGAATTGTATGGAGTATGGGAAGATTTTAGCCTTAGGAATATGCATCATATATCACCATATATTTCATCTGGTCACTGGGGTTGCTCAGTAGTCTATGAGCACGATTCCTATCTGATCCGTACGATTACAACATGAGTGATGTAAATTTCGCTCTTTAATCTTTTACTACTTATTTAGTTTTAAGTAACATAACCAATGGGGATCTTGTTTTGATGATTACCTGGACAGCCCTGAAGGCAGTATGACCATTATTTCGCCATACACAAGTTACAACAATTGGACTGCTGAATGGATTAACAGGAAGTAGTTCGGTTTATGAAAGATTCGTGGTTCAGTTAGCAAAGTTGGGCTCATCCATTGAGTTCATTAATTCATCGACCATCATAAAGAAGACCTGTACCGAGATCTTTCATGATGAAAGACAACTCCAAAAAGACCAGGTAATTCATAAGATCGTCCGACTACGAGGCCAGTAAAATCGATATACACATACTTTTAACAGTGGGTCTTCCCACATACAGAACAGCAAATCGTGAAGATCAGCATCCGGCATGTGAATTCAATTCCATCTGCGTTGCTATGCAGGACGGTTTAAGAACCAGCGTTCATAGAGTTAATCTGCATTTCTGCTTTCTCATCGTATTCACCGGAAACAGATAGACAACACCATTCATTCAGTTCTGGTCTTTGAGGCCACGCGATACTTCAAGTCTGGGGACAGTGAAGCTCTACTCTACTGGGTTGACCTCCAGGTCACTTCCAGGAGAGAGATCACCAGGGTATCCAACATTGATTAGATGTATATTATTGCTTCACTAATTAATCGATCGGGAACAATCACTGGTGGGGCTCATAAATATGGAGTTGTTCCACTTTGGTAATCCACACAGACAATGCTTCACAGAACGCATCAACGTTTATCCAATTGCCTCTACGATCATTTATTGCCCGTCAACTAACAGATAGATATAATCTATTCACGTTAAGGTTACAACCGTACTCTTGACCATAGAACCCAGGGGTACTTGTGATACCACTTTGTGCGACGCTCACAAAAATCTTAGTTACCCCCTCCCCCCCCTCGAAGCCGACTTATTCTCACTTGGAACAATTTGATTGACACAAACGGAGTGTCATCACTCAAAACCTACGGAATCGCGATCTGATCCTGT